ACTAAGACATAGAGTGAGAGGAAATCACTATTAAGTACAAAAGAAAATATCAGATAACTCTTCAATCAGGTTCCTAAAAATAACCTTCTGCTAGATTTCGAAAAAGATTGGCGAATAACTGAGAAAATGGTATGCCAGAACCATGCATAAGGAAGGACCAAGACCTTCCGCAAACATGCCTTATTTTAAAAAATCCTAAAACGCCCTCTGCAGATCAGGTTATATTACGGCTTTGTGCTCATATAGTAGTATCTAAATGGGGTAGACATACACAAGAGAACGAGGACAGAAAATAGTTTACAAAAATTAATGTATTTAGAGGTGGCTGAATATGTGATCCCTACAGGATATCAGATAGAATGGCTTTAAACCCAACGTTTTGTTTGATATAGGGACTACAAAGCTAAGCGGAGGATCAGGGAGTTGATTGAGACCAACAAAATAAAAAAATCCAGAATAACAGGAACGAATGTAGGAAACTAAGCAAGAATCAAATAGCTCGTGAGTATTGCATACACACAACGCACACGCATCAATGGAGCTAAAACAAGCCTCAGAATTGCATACGTTAGTTTATTTACATAAAAGATGCAGTAAACACATCCGCTCCCAACTAAATCATAGAACGCCCTCACAAAGTGAGGCATGAGAAGAAAGTATAATTTCAGCCGGCCACCTTTCGTGGAATAGGATGTTTTGGTGATTGTTCGTAAATGGTGGCTTCTGGCTCTGGCAATGTCAGTCACATAACGGACGAAAACTCATCACGGAATCATCCGGATGGCAAAAAGGTGAGTCGAGGTCTTTCTCGCATAATACAACAGTGATAAGTCCATGGCAATCCTCATTCTGTATTCGGTGAGGCCAATTTATGAATCCTTGAAAGATATGTCAGCAGAGTATAGGTTGAACGTGATTGCTCGAAGTGTTTAAGAATGAGGAGCAAATTGGGGTTAACCAGAACAAGATTATAACCTTTGTGATTCCCGGGTCCAAAATATGCATATAATGAGAAAGTAAGATACATGTTACTTTAAAGAAAATAAAAAGGATATCTTACCAGGGGCCCCTAGTAGTTTAGTGTAGCGGTCGAAGTAGGCTTGAAGGCGATACAGCCCTTGAATATTAATTGAATTTTGTAGCGCGATTTTGTTTAGTCTAAAGATTAAAAAAAATTAATTTGAAGTAAAAGAGATGTCTGCAATACTCCTAGAGATAAGGAACTTGGTTTAGAAAAGAAGTTTTTATTATGTTATATGAGATGCTACCCCATCAAAATTGAAAGCTTCAATCAATAAAGAAGATAAAACCATTGAGAAATCCAGTAAACAAACGAAACACCAAAAAGCTGGATTCAAGGAACCTTTAAAAAATTTAATTTTAAGTTTTGCTATTGTCTAACATAAAAAGATTTACTTGAGGTAAAATGCAAATCGGAAAAGCGGAGTCGGGAAGGAGACAAACTGTTACCAGAATGGAAATGCTTAACTTTAGTAGAAGGCTCTAGGACCTAATAGCGAATGGAAATTTTGCCGGCATAGTAAGGCAAATCAAAGCTTGGCACCACATTATTCAACAAGAAAATGAAATGGAAAACTATTTAAGTAGTTAGCATCCTCTTTTCGTTGTTCACCTATTTTTCATTCTCTTTCTCTCCTCCGATATGACACGCAGAGTTGACTTTTATATTTCGCGCCACCTTTCAAGGATTGTCCTATTGACAGACCCCCATACTGCATTAGGCTATTTCTAAATGGGACACTTGGTAATATTATTTTTCCTTTTCTATCTTCCTTTCGGTTTAATGAGTAGTAGTAATGAGTAATGTCTCATGTCCACAAATTCATTGTTTGAATTCTGCCGGAAATGTTAATAAGATGACGAGGCGAAGTCAAACTTTCATTTAGTCCAGACGAGAACGGCTTTTTTGCAGGCATGGCAGGATTATATTTACGTTAAATCATTCATTCTTCTTCTAAACTCCAGCATAGGTACCTTGATAATGGGGAGATGTAACGCCATAGAAAAACGGTGAATCTCAGTAAGTGTAATGACCAGAAAGCAATAACGCAAATAAACGGAACCCTGTAATTTCATGAAAATTTAGTTTTTAATTCTTAATACGTTAATGAGAAAAGCTGAAATAGTAGAGAACATATTAGAATAAAGTTGACAGCTTAGTCGTCCGGATTTAATTCATCTTGATATTTAGAATACTCGCGGGGAATAGAGTAAATTTTATCAAAAATTTGTTTATCTTAGAAATTTTAGTACATAAGTTCTATTTTCTCAGAACTCAGTGGCAGTATCCGCTTCGCCAGGGCCTTATCAAAAACTTAGAACATGTTAGGCTGTAGCGTTTAGCAAAATCAAGCCAAATATGGTATTAACGACACATCTTATCAATAATCCGATTTCTATAAGTTTTAATCAACTGATTGATAATATAATTTTATTAGTGTAGACTTTAGCTTCTGAAAAGAGTCAGCATCACAGATACGAAATTAGTGAGGCCATTTCTGACTGCAAGGCGAGATTTCGATAGCACCAAAGCCACGCCACCTAGTGGAACTGTCATGCCCATGAGCCGAATCTGGAGGCTGATAAAGCCTAAGTGAGATTAAAAATATAATACGATCTATTTATATAATTAAGTATTGGCCTTTTTCCTACTCCGTGATGAAAGGCTATACAAAGGTGTTAACCTGTGTAATATGATTGGACAAAAAGTTTGACTTGCATAGAAATACCAATTCAGCAAAGGTTTATAATCATTAACAGACATTAACCAACTTTTGAATTAAAGTAAACATGAAAATGGAAAGGCAAAGATGCCATCGAGAAATTTCGATGGCGCATATCAGAAAAAAATGCATCTGATTTTAGACCTTTTGACAAATTAGCAAAAAGTTCTTATATAAAAACAGAACAAACTTCTCCGCAAGCGTCTGCTGTTCATTGATGCCGACATTGAAAAAATAGGGATGGAAGCGTAGTGTGAGGCGTCCATGCAGTTTGATGTCCTGTGGAATCGGATCCCAGGAGGACATTGGAATGAAGAGCTTTGAGAAGAATCAGGAAATCAAGTGGGTTAGATCAAGACATTGAAAAAATAATGTTCTTAAGTACCCTAGGATAATAGATAAATTGAAAGCGAAACTGATCAAGGGTAGTTAATTAGGAGTTCGGAAGACTCCCTGAAACTCCAGAGAATAGCAGATGATTTACAGGATAAGATTTTCCGACAGGTTAGGAAGACACATGATGCGAAATTAAGAAATTAGGGTATAAGAATTAGATCAAGGAAACGACCCACAGCTAATGAATTGAATTGTAAAAATAGCTGTTGCCAAAAAGTTGTAAATCTGCCCAAAACTTCAGTGGGCATTTCTACTGAGGAAGCCCTAGCAAAGGGCTTAAACTTTGCTTTCCAAATGGTAAGGACTTCAAAGAGGAAATTTTGGGAGAATTGATAAGTTTAACGGATAGTTTAACAGAGGATACTAGGAGTGAGATTGAGTACTAGTTATTACTTTAATTGATTGTCATGTAGAAACACCATATAAGAATAGGAAAGTTAAGACGATTATAAGGAGGCTTAAGGAGAACGAAAGACTAATAGTAAGTGTAGGCAAAGGAGGAGCAGTAGTAGTTGTAGATAAGACTGATTATGTAGAGAAAGTGCTAGAGGCATTAGATGATGTTACAACATATAAGACTATAATTAAGGACCGGACAAAAGGCCTTAGGTCAGATTTGATAGTCTTCTGCAACAATGTGTAAACGGTATAGAATTGGAAAAGTGGAAAATGAATGCAGTTCTTCAGCGAGATGCTAGATCTCAAATTGCGTATGGTCTGCCAAAAATCCACAAGCAAGGTACTTCTCTTAGGATTATTGTAAACAATAGAGGTAGCGTGATGCATCAAACATCCCGATTTATAGAAGTGGGTTGACCTCGTTTTCGCAACTTGGTCTTGTTTTCAGTAAGACTGTGTAGAACGCACCTGGTCCGAATGGATTCACCCTAGTTCGTTTTAAGGTTATGAAGTATTGGTGGTTAAATTTTTCTCATAATGCTATGAGTAGGCTTTACACTTCCATTGATTTTCCCATAGCCTTGCTTCCAAAGAGGTATTCTCATCCAGGTCGGAGTATACTGCAGTTTCGACCTCGACTGGGTCTCATTAGCACCACCAACAAGATTGTAATCAAAGATACGACTTTGCTTGATCGACAATCTTAGCACAAAATGTGATATGGGTAAAAGCCTGGACTCCCTTAAAATTGGCATCTGCCCTGCGAACCAAAGGCACTCGTGGCCGTGTGGCGTAGTAGTCTCGAAACTCCGCTATATATATTTATATCTATGCATATTTATTATTTTTAGTTTAGTATATATAAGAGGTAAGATAGAGTCTAAAAGCCTTCCTTACTTAGTGTTAACGTGAGCTCTGATGATTTAAATCATATGATCAACATAAGCTCAGCCCGTTTTTATCCTAAGCGAGTGAGGATGCCTCGTGAACAGCCTCGATCTAAACGTGGTATTGAAGCCAAACGCCTGCAATACAACGGGAATCAGCCATCCCCTTCTGGTGACTTAGACCTTCGAATCTCTTCTTCATACACTTTAATACGAAATGAAATCTCCCCAATAACATCTTTAGGTTTGGCATAATTCGTCTTAATTCCTTACCACTTGCTTCGCAAAACTACGACACATTTTGCTCGTCTTTAATCTCTCAATATTCTGCATAGAAAGCCATTCTATGTCGAGGCTAGCAAGCTAGACATGACGTTAAATCTCATACCCAAGCCATTCCTCCTTGTGCATTACTGAATTAACAAATAAAGTTTTGCAAGATCCTTCCCAGTTAACTAACAATGCTTTTCAAAGAAATATTTAATTGCTTCGTGGCGAAATTTTGACTTCTGATTAAGTGGGTTTTAATAACTGCACTGGGATTTAATAAGGGTCATGGTATTATATGTCTAATTATCC